AAGCATATACTGTATATGTATATATATTTTACTGTGTGAATCACTTTATTCATCTTTGGATGTTACCACACAATGATTAGCCTGGCCCTTGCCTTCCTACGCAGCTCCGCTCAATTCTAGTTTCCCTTCTCTGCTCCGTCTGGGATTTCTCCCATTGAGATGGATTTCACTGGCAGATTTTTAGCCGGGCCAATCAGAGAGCAGAACGTCGATTTCTGCGCAGTGTCTGCTTGTAGTTTATTTTACCTGGACCAATCAGAGAACAGATGGAGGAACTTTCAATGACGTCGATTTTCTGCGCAGTGTCTGCTAGTTATTTTAGCATACGGCAGTGGAGGAAGTGAACCAGTCTGTGTTGATAAGGCTTCCAAATTAAAATAAATTTGTCTGACAAAGCAGCAGCTCTCATTTAGTCGTCTCGTTCGGCTCGGTACTTCTCTCCTCTCAGTAGGGTTGTTTACAGCACACGCGATTTTCGGTTAGCTTCTTAGCTTAGCCTCCTTCACAACGACATACATTGCAGCGAACTGATCCAGTCATTTTAAAATTCATCAGAGGCCACGCCTCCTGCAAGAAACGGTTCTCTATTCAGCAAGTCCAGACCCTCGTACGAAGCAAAGTGAAGGACAGGGTCTGGTTTAAACCAGGCTACACAATGATGTTATTCAAAAGAAATTTATCCCGCAGCCAAATTTAGCAACATAACTGATCATAGTGGGTTTTTTCAAATAGCTTGATTAATAAATAAATGAAACATGATGCCTAAATTCTTTAATATGAAGCTGTGTTGTTGTTTTGTCTGCTTGACCCTCACTGTTTTTATATTAGCCGTCATTCTCCTACATCCATCTATGAATTTTTTATTTGCTGTAAAAGCCGCTCGGCGAGCTCCTCYGCTGTAGAGAAGGGAAGCTGAGAGGCAGACGGCCACAGGCTGCCATCACATCGAGCCGGTCAGGCTGAGCGAATGTGTTAACCCAGTTCCTGTCTTAGTAGGAGCACACTGCCTTACATTTCAGTCACCTGAGGAGGCTGACAGTACAGGAAAACAAAACAAAAAACAAACAAACAAAAAAACAACAGTCTTTAGGAAACGTCCCACAACAGCTCTGTGATTTTTAACACAGAAGAGTCTCGGCTGCAGTCGYGGAGTCGTTAAAACAGAAATCCATGCCTCATTTTGTTTCCAGCTTATCGTGAGTTTAAGCTCCAACTCCTCAAACTGTGCCTGGAGTCAACCTACTTCACGTACGGGGGGCAATATTATAGGCAGAAACATGGGTGTGCCA